AAGATCAATATCAACTTGGTCGTTACACAGAGATATTTATTCCAAGCTTCTGTGAAATGATTCATAAGATCAATATCAACTTGGTCGTTACACAGAGATATTTATTCCAAGCTTCTGTGAAATGATTCATAAGATCAATATCAACTTGGTCGTTACACAGAGATATTTATTCCAAGCTTCTGTGAAATGATTCATAAGATCAATATCAACTTGGTCGTTACACAGAGATATTTATTCCAAGCTTCTGTGAAATGATTCATAAGATCAATATCAACTTGGTCGTTACACAGAGATATTTATTCCAAGCTTCTGTGAAATGATTCATAAGATCAATATCAACTTGGTCGTTACACAGAGATATTTATTCCAAGCTTCTGTGAAATGATTCATAAGATCAATATCAACTTGGTCGTTACACAGAGATATTTATTCCAAGCTTCTGTGAAATTAGCAATGTAAGCTTGGTTGTCCATAGAATTCCAAAAATTTTGACATTGATTGCCTGTCTATTTATACGGATCCAAAGATACCATTTTTAATGTTTTTTGCTTTATTTGTATTTCTTTTAATAGCTTAGTCGTGTTAGAGAAAAGCTACACAATAGGCTATCAGCGCTCTGCCCACCGCGTGGAATTGAACTCTAGATTTTAGTGTTGTACGTCCGTATATTTATTGATGATTCACCAGCGGACTCTTTTGACAAATATATGTGTGTGTTATTAAGAATAAAATAATTTGCATTATGTTTTTCGAAACCCTCAATGAGCCGAATTGTGAGAAAAAATTACATTTTTCAAACTTCTTCATCATTCTACGGAAATTTTCAATCTGTTAGCTTGAATATAGTTTTACTTTTCTTCTATTCTAAAAGGACACTGATTAAAAAAACAAGTTTGTTACTGTCGGGAGTTAATAGTTGATGTTTTTTTATTAAATGTGGATAACCATTCCTTGTTCTCGCCATGTATTTTTATTTCATACTTAGTTCATACTTCAACATTTGTAGTAGATATGACAGCAAATCGTTATTTCTATCACCTTGTAGTAAGATTAAATATTCTTAAAATTTGTTTTTTAAATTTTGAGCACATTTTATACGAGACTGATCCTCTAACAATGTAAGTTGTTTCATATGTTTTGATACTTGGGGCATAAGGTGTAAATAAATAACTAGCTAAAAGACTCAGGTATTCCAACGATGAAGCTATATGATGTATATATGTTTTTGTGTTCACAGGTTATGCAACGGAAGCTCGAGCGGTACGTATGGCTGTGATTCCATGTGTTGTGGGCGGGGCTTCACAATAGAAACCATTGAGAAATTAGAACGTTGTCACTGTAAGTATTATTGGTGCTGTTACGTCAAATGCAAAGCTTGTCGCATCTGGGTTCAACAACAAAAGTGTTACTGAGAGATAGATTAAACATCAAGTACACAAAATCTGTAACTCGGAGAAAAGTACAACAACGACAGCCATTACTATGTCAATTGCACGATCTGGCTTTAACATCATAGGTGTTAACAAGCTACTTCACTGCACTGAAGATACGACTTTCAGTATCGTGGGTATAAGGAGGCAATATATTAAACCCACGACCATTACGTTACATGCTAAATACTGGCCTCAACATTACGTTCCTAAGAAATAAACATGAAACAATTTCTTGTTAAAATCATTACCTGTCTTAAATATCAGAGCAGTCCCTAAACAGCATATTGTCACGAAACTCTAAATTTAGGTCATGACTTCAGGATTAAATCTGATATAAACAGGGGTTCACTTAACTGGTTCGCAGGTACGCATGCGCAGCCGAAATAATTAATACGTACTTAAAAGATGCTAAAAAGGCGCAATGGCGTACCATCACAACAGAGGTTCTTTCTGGTAGCATGGTTTTATTCCCCACTTCGTATAGGTAACATATACTTTGATTTTGATATCTGAAAATTGTTCAAAACTGAGTTATTAACTTACTGTGCTAACGAGTTGGGTAAGCTGAATAATAACCTAATAAATAATAAGAACAATTTTATATCGACTAGTTCTAGATCTAGGTCTTGCTAGTTCAATATGAACTTGTTGGCGAGTTGGATGGAGATGACTCATTTCCGTGAGTATCAACCATTTTTGCTGGTACTTATTTGAGAACCTGATATGAAAAATTATGTGAACCTCTGATTATAAATACCGTGGGACCATTACTTCTTTAAGTTTAGAGCCTGACTTCAATGTTACAGAAGCCACTAAGTAACAAACTAAGATCACTCTCAAGTCAAAATCACGATCTGACTACCACATTAAATGAATTATTAGCTAACATACTCGAGCCTGTGCATGACCTAGTTTCATCATTGCAGAAGTCACCAGGTAACAAACTCGAGCCTGTACAACGTAAAGTGCAGGACCTAGTTTCATCATTACAGAAGTCACCAGGTAACAAACTCGAGCCTGTACAACGTTTAGCGCGGGACCTGGTTTCATCATTACAGAAGTCACTAAGTAACAAACTCGAGCCTACAGCGTAAAATGCAGGACCTGGTTTTAGCGTTACAGAAGTCACTAAAGTAAAAAACCCAAGTCTACAACGTAAAGTGCAAGACCTGGTTTTTTTCAGCATTACAGAAGACACTAGGTAACACACTCGAACTAGTACAACTTAAAGCGTAGAACCTTGTTTCGGCATCGTAAGCGTCACGAGGTAACGTATTGAAAACACTACTTCATCAACTGAAGAATTCCAGGAGCAGAATTAGACACCAGTTGGACGAAGAGAGAAGCTTCTCAAATTCTGACAAATAAAAGAAGTCCTCTGATTTGGTACAGTAAATGGATGACTTACTTTTCCATATTATTTAAACAACGAGATTTGTATTACGTAAACGATATGAAAATGCTGGTTTATGATATGATGTGTATTGATAGATGTACAGAATTATCGTTTAACTAATTTGAACCAGCTTTGTTGTATGTAAAACCTCTTTAATATAAATACAAAAAAAATTTCTTTCAAACAAAGCGACTTTGGAATAAAAGGCAAATAATATCAAAATGGATACAGTTTGGTTTGTTCTTGTTTCTTTGTCATTACATGAAAGGTATATTGATTATAGAACGAAGTGTGAGACTTTAAATAATGCAATATACCGAGCCTAAGATTTTTTAGTGAAAAGAATGAAATACAGTAATGTATACGAACACCAATATTATACTTCTGTTGTGATTCAAGGCAAAACACATAAAACTTAATAAAAATCAATCCAGTTGCGCTAAACGTATTGACGTATTGTGTGCAAGAAACGGAATAGAATAAACCATCAATTTCAGTTTCATTGTAATAAAATATTCCATTACAGTGTCATAGTATACACTTTAAGATATTCATTACAGTGTCATAGTATACACTTTAAGATATTCATTACAGTGTCATAGTATACACTTTAAGATATTATTTACCTTCTTTATGTTCTTTATTGCCACATTAAGAATAAAAGTTTAGATTTTCTTAAAAGAAAGAAACATATTTACTCTTTGTTGTGAAATGTGCATAATGTCCAAGTATAAAATACACAGTATAATCCTAGCGCAAATACACAGTATAATCCTAACACAAGCTATGGTGCGGGTATTGTCTCCACGCCAAGGACTTAAGAAGAAGCAATGTGACTGAAAAACATTTACGTAATAATTTGTATGTTTTATTTTAATCCATATGATAACGTAAGAAAACTTTTAAAATTAAAATTCAGATATTAAGACACTAGTTATCACAAATATTATAGGATCGTCCTGTCACTATTTTTCAAGTTTATAATCTATATTTCATCGGATGTTAAAAAGTATTTGAATGATATTCCAAACTTCTTGGTTGTTAATGTTTAGAAAACAAAATATCTGAAGTAGGAAAATATAATAAATTAAGTTGAATGCTATTAATACGATTAAAGTGAAAGCGTTTAAATATTCGATTTAATTGTTTACTTTGAAAACATAAACAAAAAACTTGTGTTCAAAAAATATTTCTTAGTAAGTTTAGTATAGAAAAACTAATAACATGAAAACGCTTATCATTAAAGATTTATAGTAGTTGAAACAGAATCCAGCAATAACTGCATAAACATATTGTGCTTGAATTGTAGTGCTAAATAGAAGACGTAAGCTGTTTAAAAGATAAGTAATGATATTTAAACAAGCAAAAATCTGAGATGTTAGTGTTATTGTTTCGTTAAGAGTTCACAACTATTGTCTAACTCTTTGTTTTTGAAGTAAATGTATATAACTTAGTAAAACAAGGAACAACGTATGGAGTGTTTTACTTTAGAATGTATGTGAAAGGCTATGACGTGATTCTGTAATAACGTTCTTCTTGTGTACATACAAAGTTTGTGATTGCCTTTAGAATGAACTTAATGAAACTTAGACTGAGTTTCATTTTACATGTAATTGCGATGATTTAAGGAAAGGCAACTACAGTTCATAACTCATGAACATAAAAGGAAAGCTAATTAGAATCTAATGAAACTAATCTAAGAATTTTGTATATGTGCCCTTTATATGACAAAGTTTTTAATGTACCATTTTATATCTTTAATAAGATTTTGTTCAAATTGTGGTATTGAATTCTTTACTATTCTCACTCGACAGTAGAAAAAAGTTTACTATTATTTGTTGTTGTTTTGTTTTTGTAGTTTTCAATCATTGTTATTTACCGAGTTTTGTGAGTTTTAGGCATCTAAGAGTAAACGTTAAATGAAATATGTATACCTAAGTAACTTATCTTACTATGGAAGGACTATGTATAGTGATTTAATTTACCATCATAACATTCTCTGTCGTATCTAACAACAACAAAAAACAACTTTATAGATCTTTAAATTTCTTACTTCAAGTCTTTTGTTTTCGACGATTCTCCCGCCAAGTCCTAGTTTACGTATCACATGACCAGACATTACAGTACACGCAAATACTGCTGTATATTACCCATAGTGATATTTTATATTTGTAGCAAATGCAGTCCCAGAAATGTAAGGAAAGACAGCTATTCAACACCACCCATCACCAACTCTTAGACGAAAAGTAGGATCGACTATACATTATAACGCTTCCACGACAGAAAGGGCGAGCATGCTCAGTGATAGGATTCGAATCCGCAACCCGCAGATTGCGAGTCAAGCGCTCTAAGCATCAAGCCATGCCAGGTCTGAGCAGGTTAAATATATAATGCACGAAAGTACATTATTACAAGTGAGGAACATGGGTTAAATAGAGTAGGCTAAGGATCCTAATATAAAAACTTCAGATCCCTTTAAGCATTAAATACCATACATACATATATTACTAACGTTTAATTAATACCTAAAGAAAATGAAAGCCACTAACAAACTATGTACTGTAGTATCGTTGTGTGTAAGAAGTGCGCTAAACACTACAACAATCAACGCAAACTGTATATTGATTATGGAAGATACTTGTGTGAAAAAGAAGAAGTAGAAAACACGTATAAAATAAACGACACAAATGCTATTGTACATGAGTGTACAATAAACTTTCTTCACTTGACAAAAGCTGGACATGAACTAGTAGTTAACGTGCCAGGCTGCGGATCGTAAGGTCTAAGAATCGGGACATGATATTCTGCTGAACATGATCCACACTTCAGTTGTGGAACTTAATAACTGTGACTAACCACACATACGGCAAGCACTGCCGACTGGTTGCCTTCTATTAGGGATAACTATGCCTGAACTTTGGGGTCTCTGACCTGGCTGTTTAGTCTATGTTTTGCGTAAGGCGCCATCAGGTTGAAAAGGACAAATACTAACTTATTTAACACATCTTATTGTCTTTTTATTAATTTACCTGTTTAACATTTCATTTAACAAAGCACTACTAACTAGACAACTGATATTTGAAGCATATTGAGGAAACACGAAGACAAAATGAAAACATGAGATATATAAGTGTTGAAAAACAGCAATCATCTTTTTACAGGTAAAAATTAGAAAATATTAACTATATGACGACCAGGACAAGTCTGCTATTCGTCCTCATTTCAACTCCCAATGTTGATTGTAGTATTTTGGCTCTTGTGTATAAAGTTAAAATCATAAATAATATTTAACGTTAAAGTGGTACACAATTAAAAACATTTTATTTAGGCCTATCTATGGCCTTCAAAAAGTTGACGACTCTTTGAAGGTCATAGATAGGCCTAAATAAAATGTTTTTAATTGCGTACCAGTTTAATGTTGAATATTATTTATGATTTTTTTTACCAATGTTGACTTTGAGAATTGTTGAAAAGCTGTATTTGTGTATTGATAATTTTAATTTAGAATTTTTGAAACAGCGTAGGCTAGTTTCTTCGTATACAATTTAGTTTCGTATAAAGGAGTGCAAATTTAGTTTTGGAAATGTGTGATTAGTTATAAATATAAGTTAACTAACTAATTACTTGAATTATAAGTCTTCGAAAAAATCTGTTTCAAAATTAATTTTATTTATTCAAAAATCTTACTGAGTAGAAATTAACTATGTTAACACAATTTAGAATTAACCAACAATGTAAAATAAATCGCCATCGCCCTAAGAACACGGAAAAGCGTTTACAAACAAACCTGGTGACGTCATTTTTAATCGTTCTTCTCATAAATTTAACGATTTGAAATTAAAAAGTACATGGATAACCCTTTGAATGTTTTCCTCATACGTCTACAGTTTCAAACATATTTGTCTTCTTTTGAAGTTCTGTTAAGACGTTTGTTTTTTCTTTTACTTCTAATAAAAATTATAAAGTGAAAATCCACATGAACAATCTTGCAGTTTTATTTTAATAACCGTAATTCGAGAGAGAAATATCTTAATATATTGTTACGACAACGCAGGTCACGTGACGCTTGTATCACGCCACTTCCTTCTCGAACCTTCATGAAGTGTCGGGAGACTACTAGATTGGGGTAGTCTTGTATATATAAGGCCGGCCAAGAAGCAACGTAAAGTAATGTGTAATTGAACTGCGGAGAGAGAGAGAATATTGTTGAGCACGTGAGACGTTCGTTGCGAATTATAGCGTTTGTTATAGCGCGACTGTTGAAATTAAGTGTATCGCAAAGTTGTATTCAGAAAGAATAAACCAGTTTTATTTAAGAAAGGACTTGTATCGGTAAAGTTTCTTCGGAAAGAATTTTTACAGAAAATTAACTAACGAACGGAGACATAACAATATCTTAAAAAAGAATATAGAACAAGATAATATACAAGATAATAATTTTGACTAAGAATTTATATTAATATGCTCAACCACGTATTAACCAATAACATGAATACGTGAAAATAAAGATCCAATACTTAAACTGGTAAAAAAACTGCGAAAAACGTTTTGCAGTTGGATATGTATAATTGAGAGACGTGTAGAATGAAATTAAAGTGGATAACTCTGATGCTATAATGAAGTATGGTTTGACTAAAATTCATATTTTCCTTGTTTCAAATGCTGACATTAGCAATAATAGATTATCATGTTTTTAGTACAACTTCTTCGGAAATATACAAACAATGAATTTAGTGCTAAAGACTGCTTTGAGTTTTCAAATTATGTAGAGAGTCTAAGGTTTAGGGAAATGTATAAAGCTATAACATAATTTAGCATAATATATTAACATCCTGCTACAAAAGACCAATAATTTGTGTTAAATATCCTTTTATCTTCAAATAAAAGATAAATAGCTTTTCTAAGCATGTGTTTTCTAAGTTAATGTCGTTTGCGGCCAAGGAATCATATTTTATATTTAATAGAACAATTTACGATCAAGTTAACAGGATCTAAACCTGCACTTGCAATGGCTAATTGATTTTTGAGTTTCTCTGAAAAAAATACTAGTTGCAATAATGTCCTATTGAATTCAAACCAGTTTTCTGTCGATGATTACCTCTTACTATTTTTCTGTTATAAACTCATGTTGGTGAATTTTTGAAATT